CTCACCCCATTCTTTAGATATACTAATATCAGACAAAATAGACCTTAAAATGAAAATTGTTACTAGAGGCAACAGAGGCTATTTTATAATAAGCAACAAAGAAGGACTTTCTTTGATAATAAAAAGGTCAGTTTATGCACCCAATAAGAGAGCCCCCAAATATATAAAAAACTAACAGAACCGAAGGGAAAAATAGACAGCAATACTTTGGAAGAGGCTGAAAATGAGGATGCTCTAATGGACTTCTGTTAACTTAATTCGTTTGAAATCCCCACTTCTTAATAAAGTCCCTTTTTCGTGGTAACTCATTTCACATGGTTCACGTGATGCTAACGTACTTTTCCCAACCACATGGATGGACATATTACATATCTCACCAACTAGGGTACCATAGGCGCTGGAGTTAACATATAACTCAAGATAGGCCAGTTAGAGAACTCAATGGAAATTTAGTGCTGTGCTGCCCCATATATATATATATTTTTTTGCAAGATTAATCAAGGTAGAACAGTATGATCTCTTATGCCTATGACTGAGAAAGAACAGGAATACAGATTTAAGCCAGGCAGAAACAAATGGATTTCATTTGTCAGAGAAAGCTGGTGCCTTGATAATGTTATTCTGAGGCCTTAGATTATTCCTGAACCCAAATGAACTCTAGACATTTTCACTACATGAGCCATTGTATTCCTCTTTTTCTTATTAAGCCTGTTTGAGTCAGGACTCTGTCACTTGCAACTGTAAAAGTCTTGAGCAAAACAGCAGTTGATAATTACGGTTCTGGTCACCAATCCCAGGGCAGGGGCTTCCCCACAGCAAGCACTTCTCAGACACCAGCTGGGTGTCCTACAATTCAGCTCAATTCTGACACTGCCTACCAGGAGGCAGCATCAGATCCCACAGATTAGGGGCTCAGTCCTACAAGACTGCTCCCCTCCCCCACTGCAGGTGGCAACTGAAGGTCCAGCTTGTCCAGTGTTTTTCAGGCTGATGGGCTATAGATCAGAAGTTCCAACAACCCCTTCCTTGGGTTCAATTAATTTGCTAGAGTAGCTCACGGAACTCAGAAAAACATTTTACTTATTAGATGACCAGTTTATTAGAAAAGGATATAACTCAGGAACAGCCAGATGGAACGGATACATAGAGAAAGGAGCTCAGAGCTCCATGCTCTCTGAGAGAGCCACTTTCCCCAAATCTTCATGGGTTCACCAACCCGGAAACTCTCTGAAACCTGTCCTTTTGGGTTTTTACAGAGGCTTCATTAGATAGGAACAGTTGATTAAGTCATTGGTCATTGGTGATTGATTCTCACCTCCCCAGAGGTCAGGGAGGTGGGAGTGAAAGTTCCAACCCTCTAATTATATGGTTGGTTCTGGCAAGCAGGGGCTCTCCTTAGGTAGGGTCCAAAAGTCATCTCATTAACATAACAGAGGACACCTTTAATGGCTCTTATCACTTAGAGAATGCCAAGGGTTTGAGGAGTTCTGTGCCAGGAATAGTTGGCAAAGACCAAATATCCATTTCTTATTATAAATCACTACATCTGGGCACCTGAGTGAGCTCAGTCGGTTGAGCGGCTGACTCTTGATTTTGTCTCAGGTCATGATTTCAGGGTCCTGAGACTGAGCCTGGAGGAGGGCTCCCAGCTCAGTGCAGAGTCTGCTTGAGATTCTTTCTCCCTCCCCCTCTTCCCCTGCTCATGCCCACTCTCTCTCTCTCTTAAATAAATAACAAATAAATAAATAAAATCTTATTTAAAAAAAAGAAAACTAAAAAATCACAACAACATCATAATAAAAATGCATCGGTAATCCGGATGGCTGAAAACACGAATAACTAGATACTGAGCAACGGTACGCAGAGAAAATATCTTTATTTTTCTCTCACCTCTGTCTTCTAACATGGCTCATCATATCTCTATGTCCATCCTATGATATTTTGAGATAATTCCGTAGTTTACTTGCAATTTTACATTTTAAGAATATTTAGGTACATATTACTCACTTTCAGGAAATGAAAAAAGAAATCCTAGGCACGTTTAAATCAAAATTCCAATCTCACATCTATTTTGATTTGAGTGTCTTTCTTTTCACAACTCAAGGCAGACCCACACCTCTGGCCCTGCAGTAGGGTACAGAGCATGGTCGTAGCTTAGAGATTTTCTCCTTCCTCTTTCAACCCTTTATTTTGCTGTGGTTTTGTATAGTTCTCTCTTGACTAAAAGTGAATGACTAGTGGGTTTTTCATTATAGCAAGCTTCTATATAACATTTTCTTTTCTGAGTTCTTTAGCCAATTATCTCGAACACCCTGGAGTGTTTGCAAAGTGATCAGACTGGAACTACTTTCTCCCACTTACCTTCCCATCCATCCTATATATATAGGATGTCTCATATATAACATTTTCTTTTCTGAGTTCTTTTGCCGGTATCTCGAAACATTTTTCACTGAGATTGTTCCAGATCATTGCTTTATGACATGGGTGGTATACTTTCCAGCTGATCTAGAATGACATCCTTTCAGCCTTTGTCCCTGGGGATCCATCCTGTTGGGTTCTCTCATCCTCAGCAGGCATTCTTTTTTTTTTTTTTTTAAGTATGATTCCCATCAAGACAACTCAAGCGCACGGGTCCTAAAGAAAATTCATGCCTTGCTTTTATGCCAGACTGTAGGTAGTCTGCTCCTCACGCCACTAGCTTTTCCTTGTCTTGCCATGGAAGGCAGTGGCAGCCAGCCATTTATCTGATTTTTCCAGTTTGGCAACAGGCTCCAACTATCTATTTTTATGTACACTGTCAAACTTAAGGGGACACGCATAAATTCCTCCTAAATGTCAAGTGCTCCCAAGGCCTTCCTCATCAACTTTAATGCACTGAGTAAGACTAAAAATTTCTGCATCTTGCAAGTGTCCGATTAGAGGTTGATCTGCTTTCTCTTCTTTTGCAGACACTCAGAGTCTCTACGAGGGGCTCTCTTGGAGTCCTCCTGACTTGGTTAGGTGGAGAGAGCCCTCCTTCCCATTCTTCATGTGTATTCCTCCTGGTAACTACACTTCTTACTAGACAGATAATTCTCTCCTTCTACGATTTAGCTCTCTCTCCAGGAACTCCTGCTTTTTGCTTTTACAGGATGGATGGGCAGGTAAGTGGGAGAAAGAAGTTCCAGTCTGATCACTTTGCAAACACTCCAGGGTATCTGTTTGGCTGTTCTTTATAACAAAGAGGCACTTGTGGACAGAAGTGATATTCAGTGTGTTTAATGGCCATTATGGTAGACCAAGGGAGTGGATTTAGACCACAATGTTGAAACAATATTTGGAAAATGCCTTGATGATCCAGGATTCAATCTTTTATTTCCAGATTATTAGGAAATGAGGGGGTTCCAGAGGAGAAGCTAGGGTGTTAGAGTGGCAGAGCTCAGGGAAATGGCTATTTATCAACCGTCTGGAGGTATTTCTGTAACTTAGCAATCAAGTGATTATCAGCCCTTCCTATGGCCTATTATCCTTGAGACTGAAGCTTGAGCTATCATTCTCAGACAATAAGAAAAGTCTTATTTCACATCTTGTTACATTTGGGCTATGATGGAGGCAATGTTAAAAAAAAAAAGTTCGATAAAATTAGCACAACTGAGTTAAGGAATGAGTCTTGGGAGGGGAACCAGGAACAAAGCAGAAATCATATAAAGAGAGGTAAATTAAGATAATGCGATAACTCCAAAATAAGAGTTTTATCTTGAAAGTGGGCCATTTGTAGCAGAGAAGACAAGGAGACTGAAGGTGAGGGAAACATCCTTGTGTTTACTGATGACCGTTTAAGTCAAAAGCAAGACAAGAGGGATAAGAGAGCAAAGGAGCAGAGACGTGGAAGGGACAGTGGATGCTGCAGACCATTCACGTGTGGAGTCACAAGATGGGAAGAAGTTGCATGGTAGTAAAAGGACCCTAGTTGGTAGTTTTCGTCGTGTGTGTGTGTTTTAATAATGTAAGTGTGTCTGAAGGCAGAAGTGTAGGAGCTGGAGGGAGTACTGGCTGAGACCATGAGCAAAATTTGGAGCTCGGTCTCTCTGATTTGGGAAGGACTCTATCAAGAGCTCACATAGATGGAAGGGTCGGCTTTGGGCAGGAGCAAGTTCACTTCCCCTCCAAGACTGGATGGTGGCATCAGGGTATTTACCAGCATGTGAATAAGAGTGAGAGCGAGCAAACGTAGTAGCTTAAACCAGTAAACTCTATCTTCTGGGTCAAGGAGATCCCTGAGCAAAAAGCTACCTGTGAGTGGCAGAGTGAAAAGAAAGTTCTAGAATACTCTGCAAAGGGCAGGGGACAATCTGGAGGACTGAGTTCCCAGGCTGCAAAGTAGTTTCCAGCGGCAGTCAGACACCAGGCTGTGCGCGGGGCCGGTGGTTCTGAGCAGACCCAGACGTTGTGAGGCGGAGGAAGAGGAATGTACAGGGAAATGGTGCGGACGGTCGAGGGGAAGGAACTGACGTAGCTCAGGTTCGGGATGGCCAGGGTGAGTGGGGGGAAGCAGAACAGAGCTGAGTGTCTGTGGGCCCAAGCCAGGTGCAGAATGCAGGCAGCAGAGAGTACGAAGTATGAGATTCTAAGCACAGGCTCTGTTTGCCTGGGAAGCAGGTTATATCACTGTACAATCAGAGGAGGGGGTGACATCCTGGTTTGAACAGGGAAGCAGCTTCCATGGGTGTTTGCGCCCTGAAAGACCTCGCCGAATTGTAACTGGTGAGGGAAGTCAGGAGGGGATAAAACTCTGGGTTGATTTGGCTGTGCAACTGAAGTAAGTTTCCACAGTGCGATAAGTATGCCAAGGAAAGAAAGGGGAGCAGGCCTGGAATGGACAAGAGGGAAGCCACCCAGACATATGCAAATATGTGTGTGTTCACTTGCTTTTGAAAGCAAACATTTTGTTTTCAGCAAACAGCTTGCATCTTGTGCTTCCTTAATTTTTTTTTTTTTTTTTTTTTTCAGAGGAAAGTACACACACACAAAACAGCCTGTCATGGCTGGCTTTGCCGAGAAGGAAGACAGGCCCTTGAGTGTTTTCCAGTAACCCGCTCTCTATGCTGGTTCTCACACGAGAAAGAAACTCAGAGTCACAAAAGGTGCCTATGAAAGGTTCTTTTAGACAAAAATTTGGTGGACATTAAAAGAGGGTAAAAGTTCAAATGAGAAGGAGCCACTGCCAAGTAAGCAGGAGTCTTAGCCAAAGGGAAGGAAAAGGAGACACTGGTTTAAAATGCAAGTAACCATGGCAAGCCAACAGTTCATTGCTAGAATCTGGTTAAGAAGTAATATCACACAGAGCTGTGATTGTTTATTCAAAGCAGGCCATGAGAGAACATTTGTCTCCAATGGGGACTCGCACAGCTTGGATTCAATATTATAAGTGCATTTTTAAAAGCGTGCAGCGCTTCTCCCTGACCCATTTGGTATGAAGCAAAAAGAAAAGAAAGCACAAAGTTTATTCTCAGTGTCTCTTGTGGGTTTAAGACAGCTTTACATATGGAAAAGCATTTTGGTGTCAGCTGTTGAACTGGTTTCCTGCAATTCTGCTTTTCAGTTGCCATTGGAAACTCTGTCTGGCTGTGTGGTAATATCACCCACTTCCCAAGGTCCAGAAACCGAAGCCCCTCTACAGAGAAGTGGAGCCTTTCTTTCTTTACAAGTACATGGTGTGCTTTGCCCCAGATTCTTAGTGAGAAGCTCTTGCAAACAGCAATAGGACTGTGAGCATAAAAATGAGGTATGGAAATATGACATCAAGATAAGCCTGATCTAATATAATGAGAAGTTCTGCAATGACCAGAAATTCACCTTCACGTTCATGCCAATCCTTCCACTCGAGATTATCCATTTACTGTGGTTACCGCCATACAGAGAGGAGCTGGAGTGGTTCTGTCCTTTCTGTGTAAATGGGATGACTATCAATACAGCAAAGGCTTTCAGGAGGGAGAAGGTCTCTGATCCTCTGAAATTTGTGCAAATGTGTCTCTGTCATTTGGCATGTGAATTTTTCTGGGAAAATACATCTGTAACTTTCCTCAGATTATCAGAATGGTCCATGACCCCAAATGCATTAAGAACCAATGAACTTAAAGAGGGCACGTATTGAATGGAGCACTGGGTGTTATATGCAAACAATGAATCATGGAACACTACATCAAAAACTAATGATGTAATGTATGGTGATTAATATAACATAATAAAATAAAATTTTAAAAAAAGGTATAAGGTTAAAAAAAAAGAACCAATGAACTCAAGTGTCACCAGGTAAAGTACGCTGGCCACACTCAGACATATGGAAAGGATATAACTTAATGGTTTTGATTAGGAAAATGCAAGAATAGGAATATTGTCCTGGAAAGCGTTCTTGCTGGTTAATGGATACAAGATGGCCAAGGAGAGGAAATTTTCAAGAAGAGATTGTGCTGGAAGCTGAGAGAACGGGTGCTCCTGGCCTGTCATGGCAGGGGGATCATTTCCCAGCTCTAGAAGAAGATGTCATGTCTCTATTCTTCTCTTTTTCAAGTCTTGAGCCATTAAAGAGCCTGAGAGATTCAGGAGAATCTGTATTATCATGAAGGGAGGAGCTGTGTTTAAAGAGGTCAGCCTGATGATCCCACAGCCCAGTTTAACAGAAAGGGAAGGGCAGCCTATCATGTCGTCTCCTCAGGGGAGGTGATCTAGCATCATGTTCCAGCGCTTAAAACAAATAACCTGGAGTCAGGCTGGTTGGGTTTGAAATCTGGTTCATTAAGTCATAGATATTACAACCATGTGCTGGTTATGTATTACCTTCATGCCCAAGGTTCCTCAGCCTTATAGTGGAGTTAAAACTGTTGGTCCTCATTGTTTTAGTCTACTTGGGCGGCCATAATAAAATACCATAGACCATTTGGTTTACATAGCAGAAATTTAATTTATTTTCTCACAGTTCCAGGGGGCGGAAGTCCAAGATCAAGACTCTAGTTGATTCAGTTTCTGGTAAGAGCCCTCCTCCTGGCTTGCGGATGGCTGCCTTCTCACTCTGTCCTCATGGCCTTTCCTCAGTGTGTGTAAGCTGGACTGGGGAACTCTCTGGTGTCTCTTCCTATAAGGGCATTAATCCTATCAGATCAAGGTCCTACCCTTATGACATCATTTAACCTTAATTTACTTCCTTAGAGGCCCCCATCTCCAAAAAGAGCCATGCTGTGGGAGACAGGGTTTCAACATATGAATTTGGGAGAAATAGATGTTCAGTCGATACCCTCACTATTCAAGGATTCCATATTTGTAAATTTGCCTACTCTACCATTTATTTATGACTCCAAAATCCATACCCATGGCACTTTTGTGGTCAATTGCTGACATGTAAAGAAAGGTGAAACATTTGCCTGGCATGTGCGTTCCCATTTGAGACTGAACAGGGCAATGCTCTGCCTTCTTGTTTCAGCTCTCATACTATAAACAAATATCCTTTTCACAGTCTATTTAGTGACATGTGTTTAACATTTTGTGCTCTCGTTGGTGATTTCACTGTTTAAAATTGCCCCTAAGCACAGTGCTAAATGCTATCTAGTGTTCTTCAATGCGAGTAGGCTATGATGTGCCTTACAGAGAAAATATAAGTATTAGATAAGCTTTGTTCAGGCATGCGTTGGTCTACGTGGTGTTGGTCATGAGTTCAATGTAAATGAATCAACATTACATATTAAATAAACTGTCTTTTAGCAAAAACACATATAAAACAAGATTATGTATTGATCAGTTGATGAAAACATTGTAACCAGAGACTTCCAGGAACCTCATCCTTTATTTCTTTTAGGAGCAGCACCTCAGTATTATAGAATATAACTACCATGAATAATAGAATTGATTGCATATGACTCATTAAGCTGAGGATTAAGTAAGTTATTATTTAAATAAGTAATTATATACAAAGGCCTTGTGAGATTGCTGTCTTACTTCAGGCTGCTATAACAAATACCATAGACTGGGTGGCTTTAACAACAAACATTTCTCACAGTTCTAGAGCTGGGAAGTCCAAGATCAAGTTGCTGGCTGATTGGGTTCCTGTTGAGGGCCGTCGTCCTGCTTTGAAGATGAATGCCTTCTTGCTGTATCCTCACGTGTTGGAGAGAGAGATCATTTTTCTTGTGTTTCTTCTTTAAGAGTTAAGGGCACTGATCCTATCCATAAGGTCTCCACCCTTGTGACCTAATTACCTCCCAAAGTTTCCTGCCTGCAAAGTTCCCAGCTCCCATTACTTTGGGAGTAGGACTTGAACATATGAATTTGGGGTGGAGTGGACACACAACATTTAGTTCATAGCAAATGATTAGCTCATAGTCAATGCTCAGTAAATGTCCTCTATTATTATTTCTCAGGACTAGAACAACAAGAGATCACTCCACAGGTGGAAACAATAATATGCAGTATTAATCCGTGCTCAAGTGTTACATAACCAGAATTTATAATGAGGCAGAAAGAGAATTTATGACCTGCTGGGTTGTCTAGCCCACCATTTCACCAGAAATAGCCAAAGATGCTAAAATGTTAGCCGCAGTTATGGCTTAGGTTCTATTAGTTAGTTTACTCATTCTTTCCTTTATATCATCTGTCCAACATTTACTCTGCATATGTACGTAGTAAGTGCCATAGGTATACCAAGATGAGCAAAACTTGTGCATAACTAAGTAAATAAAGATATGATATAAGCAGTGGCTGAATGAGAATGTAAAGGAAATATTAAGGGAATGTAGAGTTGGAACAAATTCCCTGTTAGTTCTCTCAGCATTTTCCTGAGAACTTCCTGGTCTTAAACCCCAGGTGGTATTTATGATAAATTAGAAGAAGGGCAGTACTACTCTGGAAAACAGTATGGAGGTTCCTCAAAAAGTTGAAAGTAGAGCTACCCTATGACCCAGCAAGTGCACTACTGGGTATTTACCCCAAAGATACAAATGTAGGGATCTGAAGGGGTACATGCACCCCGATGTTTATAGCAGCAATGTCCACAATAGCCAAACTGTGGAAAGAGCCAAGATGTCCATCGGCAGATGAATGGATAAAGAAGATGTGGTATATATATACAATGGACTATTATGCAGCCATCAAAATGAATGAGATCTTGCCATTTGCAACAACGTGGATGGAACTGGAGGGTATTATGCTGAGTGAAATAAGTCAATCAGAGAAAGACATGTATCATATGACCTCACTGATATGAGGAATTCTGCTGGAATGGTGGGGGGTGGGAGGGATGGGGTGGCTGGGTGATAGACACTGGGGAGGTTATGTGCTCTGGTAAGCGCTGTGAATTGTGCAAGACTGTTGAATCTCAGATCTGTACCTCTGAAACAAATAATGCAATATATGTTAAGAAAGAAAAAAAAAAAGAAGATAGCAGGAAGGGAAGAATGAAGGGGGGGACATCGGAGGGGGAGATGAACCATGAGAGACAATGGACTCTGAAAAACAAACTGAGGGTTCTAGAAGGGAGGTGGGTGGGAGGATGGGTTAGCCAGGTGACGGGTATTAAGAGGGCATGTTCTGCAAGGAGCACTGGGTGTTTGCACAAACAATGAATCATGGAACACTACATCTAAAACTAATGATGTAATGTATGGGGATTAACATAAGAACAAAAAAAAAAAAAAAAAGAAGGGCAATACTAGCTCCAACAAGGCCCACGAAGGTAAGCACCAAGTTGGCCATCCTGGTCGGCTGGGACTCCATTTTCTGCGCTGATTGAACTACAACACCCAGGGAGTGCCTGGGGGGCTCAGTCGGTTCGGGGTCTGACTCTTGGTTTTGGCTCAAGTTATGATCTCAGGGTTGTGAGATTGAGCCTGGTGATGGGCTCTGCATTGGGCATGGAGCCTGCTTGTCCCTCATCCGTCTCCCTCTGATCCTCCCCCTGCTCATGTGCACTCATGCTCTCTCTCTCTCAAATAAATAAATAAATAAATAAATAAATAAATAAAATCTTTAAAGAAACAACTATAAGACTGTCATCAACACAGTCTGGTGGTTGAGAGCCCAGATTCTGGAGCCAGACTGCCTGGATTCAAGGCCCATTTTTCATACCACCAGCTCTGTGACCTTGGGCAAGTCTCTGTGGTCCAGTTTCCTTACTATGTAAGTGAGGAAAAGGATAGTGCTTTCTAGCACTGCTATGAGGATTAAATAAGTAAATATTTTACAAGCACCAGAACAGTGCCTGCCACATAATATGCCTTATTTTTATATTTAACGAATGACTAGATCATCATCTCTGAACGTCCTACACCAGACACATACGAAGTGGATAAATAAGATGATTAACAATCAATTGTTGAATGAATGCATGAAAGTAAATGACCTTGGAAAATGCTCTTAGGAGAGGAGATATGAGGAAATGATTTTAAAAAAGCTAATTAGGTAGTTAAGATATTTTCAACTGCTCTCTGTAAAAAAGCTTTTATTGTTCTGATGCCATTAATATAAAGCCCAAATCTTAGGGTATGGTATACAAGGAAATCAAGGATAGGGTTTGTAGCAGTAACATGTAAACCTCCACAGCTCAGTGGCTAAGAAATAGCAAATTGTATTTCTTTCCCTAGAAAAGTATGATGAAAACGTAGTTCCCATCCATTTGATCACTAAGAGATTCAGAATATGTTTATCTTGTGATGCTACCATCTTGTGTCACCATGAAGGGAGAAAAGAATGAAGGGAAATGGATTCTTAATTTCCATGGCCCAGATGGGACATGTCATTTCTGCTCACAGTCCGTCCCTCAAACTAGACCAATGTCCCAGATGCAGTTGATGGGGACTGGGGTAGGGGGGAGGCTGGGGAAGGGGAAGGTAGAGACTCACATGGATATCAAGCAAGCAGCTGTCTCTGCCACATGACATACGAGGCCCTCAATAATCTGATCACAACAGTTCCTACTTTGTTTTTCAAGTGAAATGAGGATTTGAGGTCTCATAAAACTGTGGAGTAATCACTAGATGAGTACAACAGACATTCATCACAAGGAAATCTGGTTGTGGCAAGAAGAGTGCTCTCTAGACTCCCATTTGGCTTTGTGGGGAGGCAAAGAAATACCGAATGGGGCTCCTGTTCTCAAAGAGCTTACAGTGTAGTTAAGGAAATGGGAAAAGGAGTCGAGAGGATAAGGCAGGTAGAATCAATTGCAACCAAGTGCTAGAGATAAGGTAGTTTGGTTTGATAGAAAGAGTTTGAGATTTGGCATCTCACCACCCCTGGGCCCTAAAGTTTACTACTTGTATTATCTCAAGGAAGC